ACATGGAGGTGGATATGAAAATGTGATGCCTGTACGCATAGAGAAGGATTGACCTGGCATAGCGAAAGCTGCTGTTGATCGGTCAGTGATGAAGTGGATTGCTGCAGCGATCGGCCATGAATTGGCCATGAAATTGTTCAGCATGTCCACACCCCTCAGAGCTTCGTCATGACACTTGTGAATGAAATCACATCAGCTATCGTCCACTGATCCAAGTTCTTGGGTCTCAGGCCTTCACCATTCAACACGACTAATCCACTATATCATATATCCACAGCATGGGTATCACAAGCGGATTCCGCGCGTCCAAAACCTAGCGACGGCCACCGTCTGGCACCGCCTGTGGCCCTGGGTACCCCAGCCGGCTGGGCCGTCGCCGTGGCCAGCTGAGGTGATCAGCTGAAATGCGACCTCGGCGTGCCCAAAGAATCCCAATGGACCAAATGATCCAACAGCTTGGCCATCCAATTTGGATAAGACCTCATAAGACCTTGTAAGACCTGTAACTCTAGGCCTCCTTGATATCACTGGTCTATCAGATTTCAACAGGATGACGAGCCCAGTCACTTCCAGGGGGTCCAGGAGACAAATCTCTAAGGATACTCAGATACTCCTTAGGTGAACCACTAAGAGCCCTGATACAGGGAACGTGGAAGTGAACCCCGGGCCACGGATGTGGCCAAGCGAACCCTTACACCTGCTGATCCTCGCCATGATCTGAGGAAGCGAAGCAGGTGAATGCACCCTTCGTGGTGACTTTCTGCTTGGGGCTATAGCTTCATAGTTGCAGAATCACCATCCGCAGGCTGGGACCTATATGTTTTTGACCCAGCCCAGTTGTCAATATGAGAACCAAATGCTGCTTCACTGTGAAGAAGACAGGATTATTTCTGACACCATGGTCCTTACAAGAGAACATGCCCACCATGTCAATCGTGTCATGATCTGATGTGACAAATGTGTCATAGTCAGAGCGAATTGACGATATCGCAGATCTTATAGTGCAGCAAATGTTTAGCCGGCCAAAAATCTAGTCATTGTGCAAAACCCAAATTGAAAAGCAGAACATGTTTAAGAGGAACATCATTTCTCTGATTTGTACTTTGTAGCAGGTTTCTCTCCCAACAGCGCATGAACTACTTTGGGAAGTCAATGTCCACCACTCCGACAACTGCTCATACAGTCATGGCACGTCATTCCACCAAGTACTTGTAAAGCAGCCATCCAGACCCTGCCAGCTGCGATGCCATCGGCCAGCTGTCGGCTGATCATGTTGTGCAATTCATTAAGGGCAAACATGCTGCACGGATTGACATGGGTTGTCCATGGCCCCAAATCCTGGAACATATATATATATATAGAGATTCATAGATGAACACAGTATCCAATGAAACTGATACTGATATATGAAAAAACCAAGTTGATGCAAGCAGGAACACTGGGGGAAGCGCAGCTACCGTTTCACCAGCTTCTGCAGTGTAGCAGCTTTCAGAGTTTCCCCTTTCCAGGAAGACCCACCAGCCGACACGATCGTGCCAGGTCATAGTGCAAACAGCTGTGTGAACCCTTCACGAACCGGCCGGCGAGTCATGATGCTCATTCTCATCATATCTACTTCTATGTGTGTTGCATGTGTTTTATAAATTAGCCCAGCTGGAGACCCCAATAGCAAGATACAAACCGGGACAAAAAGAAAAAAATAGAAACAGCTGCTGTTTTCAACACATCCACCATCTCTTCCTTGGACACCATCATCACATAACCGGGACACCATCACAAAATGACCAGGGAACCATCAAAACATGACCGAGACACCGTCACAACATGACTGGGACACAATCAAAACATGATCGGGACACCATCACAACATGACCGCGCCACCATCACATGATCGGGACACCATCAAAACATGACCAGGACACCGTCACAACACGACCGGGACACCATCAAAACATGACCGGGACACCATCACAACATGACCTTGACACCATCACATGACCGGGACACCATCAAAACATGACCGGGACACCATCACAACATGACCGGGACACCATCAAAACATGACCGGGACACCATCAAAACAGGACCGGGACACCATCACAACATGACTGGGTTTCAATCAAACCATGATCGGGACACCATCAAAACATGACCGGGACACAGTCACAACACGACCGGGACACGATCAAACCATGACCGGGACACAATCAAAACATGACCGGGACACCATCACAACATGACCGGGACACCATCACATGACCGGGACACCATCAAAACATGACCGGGACACCATCAAAACATGACCGGGACACCATCAAAACAGGACCGGGACACCATCTCGACATGACCCGGACACCATCAAAACATAACCGGCACACCGCCAAAACATGACCAGGACACCATCACAACAGGACCGGGACACCATCAAAACATGACCGGGACACCGTCACAACACGACCGGGACACCATCAAAATTAGCCCGCTGGAGACCCCAATAGCGAGCACCATGGCAACATGACCGCGCCACCATCACATGATCGGGACACCATCAAAACATAACCGGGACACCGTCACAACACGACCGGGACACCATCAAAACATGCCCGGGACACCATCACAACATGTTCAAAACATGACCGGGACACCATCACAACATGACCGGGACACCATCAAAACATGACCAGGACACCATCACAACATGACCGGGACACCTTCAAAACATGACCGGGACACCATCACAACATGACCGGGACACCATCAAAACATGACCGGGACACCATCAAAACAGGACCGGGACACCATCACAACATGATTGGGTCACAATCAAAACATGATCGGGACACCATCACAACATGACCGGGACACCCTCAAAACATGACCGGGACACCATCAAAACATGACCGGGACACCATCAAAACACGACCGGGACACCATCACAACATGATCATCAAAACATGACCGGGACACCATCAAAACAGGACCGGGACACCATCACAACATGACTGGGTCACAATCAAAACATGATCGGGACACCATCAAAACATCACTGGGACACCATCAAAACAGGACCGGGACACCATCACAACATGACTGGGTCACAATCAAAACATGATCGGGACACCATCAAAACATGACCGGGACACCATCCGCCCACCAGCTCTGACGGTGACCGGACGGCGCCCGTCCGCCTATTAGTTTTGCAAGACCCCATAGCATGGCTTTTGGGGAATTGTATGTTTCCGATTATTGTTTTGTTGGCGCCATGTTTTGTCGGTTGTACATAGAACGCAGTGGAATTTGCAACTCAGAACTGTCTTATTTTTTCCGAGGGCTCCTCGGACATCTGCATGTGTATCTCAAGGGGGCAGTTGGGGGGATGGGCAAGATGCTTGCGTGCGTGTTGTCTTGAAGGAGGGGTTTAATTTGTAGGCGGGTGGGCACTATGCTTGCATTCGTATCGTCTAGCGTGCACTTCCTTAAAAAGAGTATTAAATCCTATATACCTTACATAAGACGTTTACTTAGGAAGATGAGTTGAAGTGACAGACTCGTGACAAACTCGTTAATGAGCATCCCAAAAAACACTCACTGTCTTAAGTAAACCCGGCGGGATAAACATGTATATAAATCTTCCCTCGCTCCCATTTTCTCTCTATGCATGAAGGGTTCCAC